TTTCTTTTTTATTTTTATTTTTTTAAGACAGAGTCTTGCTCTGTTGCCCAGGCTGGAGTGCAGTGGTGCAATCTCGACTCACTGCAACCTCCGCCTCCCGGGTTCAAGTGATTCTCTCACCCCTGCCTCCCGAATAGCAGGGACTACAGGCATGCAACACCATGCCCGGCTAATTTGAGTACTTTTCGTAGAGACGGGGTTTCACCATGTTGGCCAGGCTGGTCTCAAACTCCTGACCTCAAGTGATCCGCTAGCCTCAGCCTCCCAAAGTGTTAGGATTACAGGTGTGAGCCACTGCGCCCGGCCGGGACACTTCCAAATGTCAAACTGGTGGTCCAAGTTTTCTCCCTCCCACCAAACTCTAGAGTGACCATGTAAGATAGATGCTTCTTCCTTTCAAATTCCAGTTATGGACCTGTTGAGAAAATAGCCAAAAGCAGGAAAGAGGAATAGTAAAATGCTAGGAAATACACAAAAGATGAACTCAGAAAATGTAAAAGCTTAAAGGAATTATGGAAATAATTAAATCTATTACTCTTATGCAACTGAAAATGAAGCCAAGTGATGTGACAAAGGCTGCTCACAGTTAGCAACATTGGTACAAGACCCCAGGATCAGCACTTATTCTACCACCCAACACCACTCTTTCAGTCAATTATTCCTAAGATCTCTTCAAAGCCTTATAATAGCTAATATTTGAGTGCGTCATATCTGCCATGTATTAATCTAAGAGCTTTACTTCTCTTAATTTTCTTTTTAAAATTTTATCTTCATGACATTCAATAATTCTCTTCTTGACTATCCCATAAAATAGGCAATTATCATTGCCATTTTAAAAATGAGGACACAAGAGAAGCTAAGTAAACTTGTTCAAGATTGCAAAATATGAATGATGGAGATGGGATTCAAATCATTTTTAGGGACTTTTTTTCCTCCCTTTGTAGAATGTGGAATTCTTGTAAGCATGCCCTTGTCTTGCACACCATATCCTTCCTCCCCAAATCTCCAGTGCCTAGCACAGTGTACGATATGGAAATTGTCTACTGAAATAGTGAAGTATTTAATTTTACCCCATTTAAATTGTTAATTGATGAATTCAGTATGCTACTGATTGCTATTTATATATAAGATACTTTATAAACCTGCTTTCAATCCTTAAAACTCCTCTACAAAGCAAGTAATCCTACTTTACAGGAAGGAAATAACTTGTCCAAAACCACATAGCAAGAAAGAGACAAATCTTAGGCCATTCCAAGAGCCACACACACTTGCCACTAAACCACCCTTTTCTTTTTTTTTTTTTTTTTTTTGAGACGGAGTTTCACTCTTGTCACCCAGGCTGGAGTGCAATGGCATGATCTTAGCTCACTGCAACCTCCTCCCAGGTTCAAGCAATTCTCCTGCTTCAGCCTCCCAAGTAGCTGGGATTATAGGCACACACCACCATGCTCAGCTAATTTTTGTATTTTTAGTAGAGACAGGGTTTCACCATGTTGGTCAGGATGTCTTAAACTTCTGACCTCAGGTGATCCACCTGCCTCGGCCTCCCAAAGTTCTGGGATTACAGAAGTGAACCACCGCACCCGGCCTAAACCACCCTTTTCAACACCGTCCCTGTTCTCAAAGACCTTAGTCTGATAGGGATAATGGTGACCAATTATACTGCAATGTGGTAAGTGCTAAAGCAGAAGCTCGGCGGCCAGGCATGGTGGCTTATGCCTATAATCATAGCACTATTGGGAGACCAAGGCGGCAAGATCGCTTGAGGCCAGGAGTTTGAGACTGGCCTGGACAACATGGCAAGACCTTATCTCTACAAAAAATACAACAATTAGCCAGGCATGGTGGTGCATACCTGTAGTCCCACCTACTGGAGAGGCTGAGGTGGGAGGATCACTGGAGCCTGGGAGGTCAAGGCTACAGTGAGCCATAATCACACCACTGCAATCAGCCTGGACAACAGAGTGAGACCCTGTCTCAAAACAAACAAACAAAAGTAGTAGCTAGGAAGAGAAAGAGGGTCTGGGGGAAATAGGGAAGTTAAACAGATAACTGAGTAAGCCTTTTAGGATAAACAGAAATCCTCTAGCAGAGAATACTGTTCTTTGACCTCATTAGAACCTGATTTATTGGCCTCTATTTTCTTCCAATCTATCAGCCCTCCCCTTTTTCTTCAGTTTTCTTCCAGACCAGCTTAGATTCCATAGCCCATCATTCCAACAACACCCTAAACTCCCTTTAACTCTGTCTTTATAGTTAACTGTCTGGCAGTACCTCTAACCTGGTCAGGGACAGTTGCAGACAACAGAACCCATTTAAGCAGAAAGGGATGTACTGCAATAAAAGACTTTGGCAGAACTTCCAGGAACAACACCTAACCCACAAAATAACACCACCTTTGCCACAATCCAAGAAAGTTATGGCTATTACTGCAGCAAGTCACCCAACCAGGGAGCTATTGACTGGAGAACTTACTGCCATGACTGGCAGCAAAACTGGATGACTCATACCCTCCTTCTCTCCACATTTAACTCAGTTCCAAATTCAATTTTCACCTTAGATGCAAAGGAGTCTAGAAAATGGTTTTTAGTTTTCCAGATTTTTCAGTAAGAGAAGACATATTAGAGGTTAGAATGTGTCTTGAGCAAGCGATGTCCTTGCCATACCCAGACAGGTTTTCTCCATGTATGCACTAAACCACTGAATATGCTGGAAAAGTTTTTTTTTTTTCCTTGCATCCTACATTTCTCTAGTAACCTCATTCTCTCACACTCCACAATGACTTTCAAATCTTCTGCAATATTCTCAAATTTCTCACAATTGTATCCTCAATTGGATCCTGGATAATCCCTTATCCCCATTGGTTAGCGCATCCTCTCCTCCTCTTTACAATCATATCTATGAAAAATACTGTGTAGGTTCACTACCTACATTTTCTTGTCCAAATCCTTGCCTCATATCTGACTTTTTGCCCAATCACACCAACAAAATAACTCTTGCTAACATTACCATGACCTCCATGATGATAAAAGCCAAAATATATTTTTCAATCTTCATGTTATTTAAATTCTAGAAGTTTCTATCACAAATCATTCTTTTGCTTCTGAAACATTCCTCCAGTCTTCCTTCCTTCCTTCTGTATCTCCTGTAGGTTGATCCACCTGTTCTTCACCATTAAATGTCGGAACTAGTCAAGGTTCTGACTTAGGTGACCTTATCCACACCTATGGCTCAATTCACGTATATACAAATTATCCCCAATTTTATATTGCCAACACAAATCTCTCTTCTGAGCACAAAGCTGTGTTTCAAACTGCCTCCTGGATGTCATGAATGACCCCACACAATCAATCAATGAGTCAAAACTGGTCTCAGCTGGGAGCAGTGGCTCAAGCCTGTAATCCCAGAATTTTGGGAGGCCGAGGCATGTGGATACTTGAGGCCAGGAGTTGGAGACCAGCCTGGCCAATACGGTGGAACCCCATCTCCAATAAAAATACAAAAATTGGCCGGGCACAGCGGTGGCGACTGTAATCCCAGCTACTGGGGAGGCTAAGGCAGGAGAATTGCTTGAACCTGGGAGGTGGAGGTTGCAGTGAGTGGAGATTGTGCCACTGCACTCCAGCCTGGGCGACAGAGCAAGAACCTGCCCCCGCAAAAAAAAAAAAAAAAAAAAAAAACACACAAAAAAAACAAAAAACCTGGTCTCTAGTCGTCTTCTAGTGTTCCCTATCCAGCTTGGGGGATTCCGTGATAGTGACTGAATGATACCACCATCTATTCAACTACATAAGCCAGAAACCTATGAGTTACCTTTGATTCCTGTCTTCACTCACTAAAATCAACCCTTCACCAAGTTCCGCCCATTTTACCTCCTACATACCTCTAGAATCTGTCCAATTCTCTGCAGTTCCACCCATATCTCAGTCCTCACTGACATCTCTGACCAGGATTACTGTATATCCTAAGTGGTCCACATGTATCGACTAGGGTTTCCCCAGCCCCAATCTGTTCACACCACTGAGCCTGAGAGATCAAGCCCCCTCCTCCACCACACCCCACCGGGGGAAGACGGCTCAGTGGTATCCCATCCGTTTTAAAATAAAAGCTACAAATTCCTGCAAGGTCTGACCGCTATCACGTGCAGCTTCATCTTGTACCATACTCCCCTTCATTCTCTTTGTATCAGTCACACTGGCTCTTTGTGCTTTTAGTCATTTTTCCTCCCAAGTGCCTCAGGGCTCTGAACAAGTAGTTCTCTACGGAAGGTTCTGCCTTTACCTCTTCACTTAATTAATTACAATTCTTCCTGCAGCTACCAGAGCAGGCATCTTTTCCTGTGAAAAACCTTCCTGCTTATTTCTCATAGCATCAAACAGCACTAGGAGGCATTTCCATGTATTAGTGAGGTCACTGTTTAACGTTTTCCCCACCAGACTTAAACGCCCTGAGAGTAGGGACCGTGTCTGGTTCACCACGTACCCCCAACGCGCTGCTAAATAAATATCAGCTGGACGACTGACGCAATGACCACGTTCATGGGCATGAGTCTCAAATTTCTCAACAAGACTGTGCTCTGGAGAAGGAGTCGGACATTTCCCTCATCACTGTCTCTCTCAGGGGGACAGAGACTAGGCCCTAATCAAAAACTGCAAAATCAGTGGCAGAAACAAGTCAGCCTCCTTGGCCAAACGGGGCACCAGAGGAAGTTGGGACACAGGCCTTTCTCCCTGGGAATGCCCGGCACAGGACTGGCCACGACGGGCGCTCTTGAAGAAGGGGGCCGCAGGGGCTGGGTCTTGCCGCCAGAGGCCCCCAAGGCTCCGCTCCCGCCCGGAAAGAGAGCCCATGCTACTACTTATCACAGCTGGGGACTCGCGGCCCGCCTCCCACCCCTTGCTATCAGCACCCTCAGCTGAGAAGGGCAGCTTCAGACTGCACAACCGAGGCGTCGCCTTCAGACTCAGGCTGCCACCCACCCAGCTCTTCCTCATACGTACTAGGCGTCAGCTCCAGGTCCCCGAGTCCCGGCGCTGAACTAAACGCCGACCCCAGTCAGCCAGCGCGTTTCCACCCACAAGACCCAGCGCGCCTAGGGAGGTCGCCAGCTCCGTCCACCAATCCTGGAATCGCACTCTCATGACGTCAGAAAGATATGCCCAATAACAAGAGACTATCCGAGGGCGGTGCAAATGGGTATATTGAAAACCGATTGGTTCTTCCAAGCTGGAAGTTGTGGAGGAAGGACTAAGCTGGAGCCAATTGCGTGGCGCCTGAGGGGCGCAGCGCGGTTAGTGGCGGCACTGAAGAGACCGGTTGCCGCCATGATAGAACAACAGAAGCGTAAGGGCCCGGAGTTGCCGCTGGTTCCAGTCAAGCGGCAGCGGCATGAGTTGCTGCTGGGAGCGGGGTCGGGCCCAGGAGCCGGGCAGCAGCAGGCGACGCCGGGAGCTTTGCTGCAAGCGGTAAGTGAAGAAACAGGCGGCCTTTGGCCCTCAGCTCATCTTCCTCCCCTCAGAGCGCTGTATCTGGTGACCCGGCACCGACCCTTTCCCGCATTGCAGGGGGCAGAACGAGAGTTTCTACCTAGAGTTAAAGCACACGAACACTGTAAAAGCGCCTCATAGCCTGCGGATGCTCTGTACTTGTTCCCCCGTTTGGCGCTGGTTTTCAGCCTCTCGACTGCCCTGTGAGGTAGCGTTAGAATTAGAGTTGAGAACCTTGGGCTCACAACCCGGACCCGGGCTTAAGCATCCTGACTCTAACGTGGATCTAGCATAGAACAGAAATTCCGAAGAGTTTGTAGAATGAATGAATGAGGGAGGGAGGAAAAAAGGGAAATGATTGGTGTTGGCTCGTTTGGGGACTTTGGGCAAGTTGCTTTTCCCTTTATTTCCCTGCGCTAGTATTATTAACAACTGAATAGCAGCTAACATTCATTGACTCTTGTACTAAGGTGTTTCGTATATGAAATTTCCATTGATCTTGGTAGCAGCCTGTTAGGAACGTTATTAACCCATTTTGCAGATGGAAAAACAGACTTATCAAGCACGTGATAGAAACAGATGTTGAACTGAGAAACCATGCTCCTAACTATATTTTTTGTAGGATAGAAATAGTGATCACACTTCTAATGCCCTGTTTAGGCTCAGACGAGGAAATACGAGTGTCCTCTCATCTCCTCAATAAATCCTGCTGGCACCGTTCTCAAAATAGATCTAGAATTGCTACTTCTACCATCTCCATCACTGCCTCGTGGCCTAAGCCGTTATTATCTCATCTGGCATTTTTGTAGTGGGACCCTAACTGGTCTTCCACTTTCTGCCTTTGTAGCAGCACCTGTTACCAAGCCAATAACCAAAGGAATCCTTCTAAACAACGGATCACATTACACTCTGCAGAAAACTTTCTGGTGGCTTTCTACTTCATCCAGAGTAAAAACCAAAATTCTTATAATTATTTGTCCTCTTTCCCTTTACCTCTCTGACCAATTTCTCATTGCTCACCTGGCTTCAGTTACACTCTCTTCCAAACCTCTGCCTCAGGACCTTTGCATTTGCTGTCCTCCCTGTGGGATTGCTCTTCCCAAATGTTCACATGGTTTATTATTCAGCTCCTGCGAATATTTGCCCAAATGTAATTTTTTCAGTGAGAGTTTTCCTGACCACCCTATTTTAAATTGCAGTACCACATACTGTGGAACCTACATTGCTTCTCTCTCTCTCTCTCTCTCTCTCTGTTTTTTCTTTTGAGACAGAATCTCTCTGTGTTGACCACTGGCTCGCTGCATCCTCCGCCACCAGGGATCAAGTAATCCTTCTGCCTCAGCCTCCTGAATAGCTGGGACCACAGACACATACCACCACACCTAATTGTATTGTATTTTTGTGTAGAGACAGGATTTTACTCCTGAGCTCAAGCAATCTGCACACCTTGGCCTCCCAAAGTGCTGAGATTACAGGCATGAGCCACCTTGCCCATCCCTTCTTTTTTCTATAGCACATGACACCAAGTATATATTTTGCTTGTTTTCTCTCACCTTCTCTCCTCCCTTCCCCCTTTCCCACTGGAACAGCAAGCTCCATTGTTTATTTTGTTCATAGCTGTTTGCCCCGTGCCTAGCACATAACTTTTTATTTTTAAGATGGGATTTTGCTCTTGTCACCCAGGCTGGAGTGGAATGGTGCGATCTCAGCGCACTACAACCTCCACCTCCCGGGTTCAAGTGATTCTCCTGCCTCAGCCTCCCGAGTGGCTGGAATTACAGGCGCCCACCACCACGCCTGGCTAGTTTTTGTGTTTTTTTTAAGTACAGGTGGGGTTTCACCATGTTGGTCAGGCTGGTCTCAAACTCTTGACCTCAAGTGATCTGCCCACCTCAGCCTCCCCAAGTGCTGGGATTACAGGTGTGAGCCACCGTGCCCAGCCTGCACCTAACATTTTTTAAAACTAAATTAATGTGGCGGGGCTTGGTGGCGAGCACCTGTAATCCCAGCCACTCGGGAGGCTGATGCAGGAGAATCGCCTGAACCCAGGAGGCGGAGTTTGCAATGAGATGAGATCATGCCATTGTACTCCAGCCTGGGCAACAGAGCAAGACTCCTTCCCAATAAATAAATAAGTAAGAATGTGCTGGAAAGTGCTGAAGAGATTTGGGGATTATGGGTAGTATACTTCTCCCATTTGACAAGTGAGCATATCAGCCCATGTTTAGATGAATTGCCCAAGTGTCATCTTAGTGTCCAAGACCATAATCAAAACTACTTCACCCGTGCTGAGGATCCCTTTGCTATGAAAAAAATAAGAAATAAAAATAGGCCGTGCGCAGTGGCTCATGCCTGTAATCCCAGCACTCTGGGAGGCCAAGGCAGTCAGATCACTTGAGGCTGGGAGTTTGAGACCAGCCTGGCCAACATGGTGAAACCCCATCTCTACTAAAAATGCAAAAATTAGCCGGGCATGGTTGTGCATGCCTGTAATCTTGGCTGCTCGGGAGGCTGAGGCACCAGATCCCTTGAACCCAGAAAGCAGAGGTTGCAGTGAGCCGAGATCACGCCACTGCATGCCAATCTGGGTGACAGAGCAAGACTGTGTCTCAAAACACACACACAAAAAATAAAACAAAACTATTTCACCCAGTACTCCATACCATGCAGGGTTGTTGGGAAAGTCAGTTCTGTCATTCATTAAATGAGCCCGGCCAAATGTGGTGGCTCATTCCTATAATCTTAGTGCTTTGGGAGGCCAAGGAGGGAGGCCAGGAGTTTGAGACCAGCCTGGGCAATGTAGCAAGACCTCATCTCCACAAAAACTAAAAAAATTAGCACATTATGCTAGTGCATGCCTGTAGTCCTGGCTCCTCAGGAGGCTGAGGCAGGAGGATCACTTGAGCCAAGGAGTTTGAAGCTGCAGTGAACCATGATCACACCAATGCAGTCCAGCCTAGGTGACAGAATGAGACCCTATCTCCAAAAAATAGTTAGTCATACAACAAGAGCCGAGAGAGTGAACAAGAGAGTCATTATAACAGGTAGATGATGGAAAGTTTCAGGGAGTATCAAGTTAGAGGCGTTCATGTGAGAAGAGGAGCCATTCTCTGAGTCAGATGAAACCCACCTAATCATTGTTTTCCTGGTCTTTTCCTTCCACTCCCCACCCCCTAATTTTGTAGTCTCCTTTGCCTGTATGCAGTAGTTACCTTGTGCTTCTCTTTTGTTTAGGGACCTCCAAGGTGTTCCTCCCTTCAAGCCCCAATCATGCTGCTCTCTGGACATGAAGGGGAAGTATACTGCTGCAAGTTCCACCCCAACGGATCCACCTTAGCATCTGCAGGATTTGACCGACTGATATGTGAGGCATAGTTTTTGAATCTGGAATAATTGTTCCTGCCAGAGAGTGATATTTTTTTTTAAATCTTGAGTGCCACAGAAGGTATCACTCTATGTTGGCAACATAACAGGCCGCATGGCTAATATGCTAAAATTGGGGCATGAACATGCTGAATGATCTTGGGTGTAGAACTTGGAGTCCATGGGGTAAATACATAAGCCATTATTTTACTAGTTTGAAAGCGAGTTCTGGTTTGAGAATATCTTCCTCATAGAGGCAAATCTCCAGCTAATTTACCAAGACACTTAGCAATCTAGACATAACAGGTTAATGGCAGTAATGAAGAGAGAAATAACTTTTATTTTCCCAAAGGTATAAGGTCCTCTTAATTCACACCCAGAATCCTAGCTAGCATATGGAAAAGAAGGAATCCTAAAGTGGTAACTCCCTTAAATAATCTACGTACATCATTAGGATCTACGACCAGATTTCCGTTTTTGAGAAATAAGTAGAATTTCTCATACCCATTTAGAAAAAGTCATTTTATTTATACTCTAGCAAATGAAGCCAAAAGGCAAAAAAAAATTAGATGCTTCTGTTAGCTACTGTCTTGCCAGATTATGAGATGAAATGAGTTCTTTGGCTCTTTTCTGTTAACTCTTTGCCTCGGTGGCAAGTGGATGATACCCATCTTCACTACCCATTTTGATTTGGATGTTCTGGCTCTGTGATCCTTAAGCTTACTGGTGGCCAAACGTCCGGGTGGCTTAGGGATCTTTGCAGAACATATACGAATTATTGATATGCTTAATTTCATCAGACAAACTACATAGTTTTTTTTTGTTTGGTTGGTCGGTTGGTTTTTTAGAAACAGAGTCTCACTCTGTCACCCAGGTTGGAGTGCGGTGATGCAATCTCAGCTCACTGCATCCTCCGTCTCCCAGGTTCAAGTGATTCTCCTGCCTCAGCATCCCGAGAGCTGGGATTATAGGCGTCTGCCACCACACCTGGCTAATTTTTGTATTTTTAGTAGAGACGGGGTTTCCCTGGTCTCGAACTCCTGACCTCAAGTGATCCACCCGCCTTGGTCTCCCAAAGTGCTGGGATTACAAGCGTAAGCCACCATGCCCAGCCTGAGATCTGTTGTTTTGATAAATTTATAAGTACCCTTTGCCTGGTAATGCTCACAGAACCCCCGTCTCCCTAACAGTGTTGTGGAATGTCTATGGTGACTGTGATAACTATGCCACACTGAAAGGACACAGTGGAGCAGTGATGGAATTGCATTACAACACAGATGGC